TTTTTGCAGTGAATTGAATAAAGAAATCTTCAATAACCAATTAATTAACTATAGTGGCCCTACATGCAAATGCAGATTATTCAATCGTGCAGCTCTTATAACAGATGGAGACCTTCAATTAGATGCCTCAATTGACAAACCGTGGAGACTATGCACAGTTCAAAAACAAGTGGAAGATTTCAAATCCATTATTGGAATCTTGCCACAGTGGAGTTCAAGCGTGTTCCTATATATCCACTCCAATAGCAGTCCAAGGAAGCAAGAAAGTGCTTCAAGCATTGGTCATGGATCGTCAAATAGGACCCCATTTTAAATTCCCAGCTGGTTCCATTATAGTCATATATACCCTTAATATCCACATCCATTTTCCTTTTCTTTCTTGATAGGGTGGTGTGGCCTGCATGGCACAAGTTGAATAATGGTAATCTCCCACTACTCTCCAACGAATCGGAGTAGGCCACATGTTCAATGTGTTAGGCATGGTTGTCTCAGCTATTGTTGAATCAAAGAGGCTCAAGATGGTTCATTCCAATCCCACAATGGCTATGTCTATTCTATGGTTGTTTCCACAATTGGTGTTGGTTGGAATGGGAGAATCGTTTCATTTTCGAGCACAACTTGCATTCTACTACCAGCAACTTCCTCAGTCACTGAAGAGCACATCAACTGCTATGATTTCCATGATTATAGGGATATCCTTTTACCTTAGTACAGCATTATTAATTAATCAAGTTCGTAGGAGTACTCATTGGTTACCCGATGACATGAATCAGGGAAGGATAGATAATTTTTACTGGATGTTGGTTGTAGTGGGAGGCATCAACTTTGTATATTACTTGGTGTGTTAAACTTTGTATAACCGTTCAAAAGTGTAAGAGGAGATGGCATTGGATTGAAACAAGTTAGAGTAATGGTACCTGAATTAATACATCATATCGTATTGTTATATATAGGTTGAAAAATTATAATCATCTATCCACTATCTCTTTCATCTCATTTCTACCCCATTTTTATTCCCTTTTTTTCCCTTTTTATCATATAATTTATCATAATTTTATCTTTTTATTTTCTCACTGTCTCTTTTCTTTATACTCCGCATTTTGGAGCGAATGTTAATCACTATTCATGTACATTTCTTTCTCATTATCTCTCTAAGTGTCACTTAGAATGTAAATGTCTCCTCATCTTTTTTCATTAAATAATTATGTATACGGGTAATTTTTAGTTGGTACATAATCTCTTAGCTAAAAGTTAAATGGTTATGAACTAATAGTACTGTTAGCTAATAGCAAATAAATTTAAAATAATATATACACGATCTTAAATTTAAATTCTTAATGAATAAAAAAATAATTATTAATTAATTAATTAATTATACATATCTTCTTACATCTATTTTACATTTTTTTTTCGTGTCCTTGCCTAAAACATAAACATTGCAATAAATATATGAATGCGAAACCTTGAATGAAAGTGTACTCTTTTTAAACAGTGTGCTAGTTGTATAATCCGGCCAATTCAAAATATATTTTTGTTTTGCTGACTGTTCATAGTGTGCTAGTTGTATAATCAAGCTAACCCACAATATATTGTTATTTTTCTGACTAATCATAATTTTATTTGTATTTTATATATTTTCATGTGAATTTTTGCTGAAAATGATTTTTAATCCAACTGAATTTTTTTTAAAGAGATTGGTAGTTGATTATAATCATACATAAGTTCTTGTCTTGTTTTTAATTTAAACTTTTTGTTACACACAAAAAAAAATAGTATTGTGGTAGGTGACCTAGAGATAATGGAACAAGGGTGTCCTATATGGGAATAAATTTTCTCAAGAGAAATTTTCACTTGAATTTTCTATCATGGAAATTTTTACCATCAAAGTCTCATGTTATTGTTTTATTATTTATATTTTCTTTCTTTTAATTTTAATCAAGGATTGAGATTTTATATAGGACAAAGATGTCATATGAAATGATACAAACGTGTTATATAAACGTGATAGGGATTTTTTTGTTTGTTTTTAGAAGAGTGATTATTAGGATTAATCTGTTAGCTTTCTGTTATAATTGAATTTGTTAGAAATTAATTCAATTAGATAATTAGATATCAGTTTATTAGCTTTCTGTTATAATTAAATTTCGTTTTCAACTATTATATATAGTTGAATTTGTATTCTTTTGTTTTGTGTGTTGATCAATGAATCAAAGAGAAATTCCCAAACTGAGTTGTTTTTCCTTTATTCCTCTCTGCCAAGACTCTTTCATGGTATCAGAGCCATTTAAATCCATTTTAAAAATGGACCACCCACCATTGATGCATGCCTCATAGGTGTGAGAGGGTATATTGGGAAAAACCCAAGTCCCGCCAATCCTAGATCATTAAAAAGGGTCACCCACCATTTATCCACGTACCAAGCCTGATGGGGTGTATTGGGAAAAACTCAAGTCCCACATCGACTAGAGATTAGACAATTGAATAGTATATAAGTGGAAAGCAACCCTCACCTTACAAGCCGGTTTTGTAGGGTTGAGTTAGGCTTAATCCACTATTCTAACAGTGATATTTCCTAACACATATGCCCATCAACACTGATAAGATAAACAAATAGAATAAAGAAAATCGATAGAAATATAATTAGTGATATAAAATATGATAAAAATAATAATAATAAAGAGTGCCAAATAAGTGTTTGTAAATAATAAATCATATATCAAATTAGTCACAAACTAATTTATTTTTAGACAGAACTCAGAATTTCGTCTTCATTTTAATTTCTTTCTAATAGTGAACACAAAACAATGGTTGTCCTTGTCCCCCAACAGTTTCACACGACACTTGTATATATCATTTAACGCGGGTTGTATGGTATAGAATAAAAAAGAGACGATGATGCATGATTGACAATTTGGCATATTGTATTATGGTAGTGATCATGATATAATTATAGTGACATACTTACAAGCCGGTTTTGTAGGGTTGAGTTAGGCTTAATCCACTATTCTAACAGTGATATTTCCTAACACATATGCCCATCAACACTGATAAAATAAAGAAATAGAATAAAGAAAATCGATAGAAATATAATTAGTGATATAAAATATGATAAAAATAATAATAATAAAGAGTGCCAAATAAGTGTTTGTAAATAATAAATCATATATCAAATTAGTCACAAACTAATTTATTTTTAGACAGAACTCAGAATTTCGTCTTCATTTTAATTTCTTTCTAATAATGAACACAAAACAATGGTTGTCCTTGTCCCCTAACAGTTTCACACGACACTTGTATATATCATTTAACGCGGGTTGTATGGTATAGAATAAAAAAGAGACGATGATGCATGATTGACAATTTGGCATATTGTATTATGGTAGTGATCATGGTATAATTATAGTGACATACTCACTCAGTATATCCCAAAATCTGCTAATTTGGAAGTTCCTATGTCAAACGTGTGTAATTCGTTGGATCTTCTTTCGTCTTCGTGGTGCTTCCTTTTTCTTTTAGCCCGTGTTTGGATTGACGTTTACGGAACTCGACGTGCGTACAAAACGTGAAAATAAGAAGCTATCATAACTTGCTTCCTCGTCAAATTCGTCAAGACGTGGATTATTGGCGCGAATTCAAACACGCGGTTAGTGCCCTTGCAGACTTGTCTTCCGCACCTCTCTATTCTTTAAGCGGGAAAAAAAAATGTTACCAACCGTAAATCCTATAAAATAAAATAACGTTCCAACAGTGAAATTAAAAAAAAATTAGTGTATAAGTCAAGCCTATAAGTTTTTTGAAAATTTGAAAATTACATATTACTTTGTTACATTAATTTGAAAATGTATTAAATATATTTTAGAAAATATAATTTTATATGAAACTATAAAAATTAAATATAATTAATTAGCTCTCTTAATATATGTAAAATCATATTGTTTTACTTATATATAGGTTCATAGAGTGTCAATAATAAAATAATGTAATTAGAAATAAAAATCTCAATTAAATATAAGAAAAATCATATTGTTTTAGTTATATATAGGTTCATAGAGTGTCAATAATAAAATAATGTAATTAGAAATAAAATCTCAATTAAATAAATTATATTTTAGAGATGATACCATTAAAGAGTAAAGTTAGTAAAGTTAATTAGGATATCTTTATATTTATTCATAAGATTTTTTTCTTATATTTATATAGAGTTATTCATAATATATCAAATTAATTAATCTATACAAATTATATTATAATATTAACCATTTAGTTTTCCTAAATTCACGTTAATACCATTATTTAATTTAAGCTCTTAATTTGAGATCGCAATCTTTTCATTTCACTTCAATTCATCTTCTCTTATCTTTATCCTCTCATTGAATTAAATGGACCCATCCGCTTGAATCTAGCAAGGAATGCCCACAGGCACAGCAGGAAAAAGACGAAGATGACTGTCCCAAAATTGTCAATTTAGGAAGGGAGTGCCAGAAGTCCTTCGGTGGGACATAAAAAGCAGTATAAACGTACACTTTAACTTCTTGGTTTCTCTCATCGAAAACAAAACAAAAACATAACATTGTTCAGGTGATGTAACGAGTAGGGAGTTGGCCTTTTCTGAGTGAGAGAGACAGTACTCTCGGAAATTGTTAGTGCTTGTGCAAATTAAGATCATTCTACAACACACATGCAGAACCCTGCAACACCCAAAAAAAAATACTACTATCAAGTTCATTTGTGTCTTTTAGTTAAATAAATAAATGATAAAATATGTTATTGTCCTTCTAAAAACATATTTTAACCATAAACAAACTAGAAAGAAGGGCGTGGATGGTGGGGGGAAGGTGAATCAGAAAGAACATAGCGATGAATAATTGGATCATATCAGGATCTATACTCGAAACATTTGTGAATTATCTTTCCCCTTTCAATTTCATAAAAAAAATAAAAAAAAATAAGACAACATATAAATTTTACCATGGTCAATCAATCAACAACCACACGACAACTTCATTCATAAAATAAAAAAAAATTATATATGAAAAACACCGGTAATATTCAATATTCAAGAATCAAGAGTAGGGTTACGCAATATGCACATCCAGCATCAAATTTACACTTGCTGTAATTACCAACACAAACGTATACTTATTTTATTCCTGTACACATGATAATATCTTAATTTAACAGCACTCTACCTAAACTTCAACTAGAACAATCCAGATTTTACACCTATGCACACTGTTTCCCTAATGATGTTTATTAGCTCAAGTTTCAAACATGTATGTATATGGTACTGCTTAGTGAAAAACAGTAAAGCTAACATCATTCAGTGCTTCTAACAAATTAGTCAGCCAAAGCAACAAAACTTGCTTCTTTTAGCTTTAACTAATGTTGCAATCTCTGGAATTTCCAGGAGAATCCTCTTCAGAAGAGGCATCACCATCTAAGAATCCTAAAAGGTAGCCCTCTGCATCTTCTTCATCACTCACAATATCTGCCCTATTATGTCTTCTTTCAATATATGCCAATGTCTGCCGCCTCTGCAGGCGAAGAACATGCATTATAACATCAGGAGTAAGAGTCACACGTGATCGATCTTCTCTGCCCTGTCTGTTTGCCTCCATTATCTGGTCACATGTATAGCAATCAGAAAAGTTGCAATCAAGAATGTAAACCAGGTTTTATAAACAAAAATAGCATATGAAGCATTAAACATCCTATGGCAAAAACAAAAGCATTAAACATATCCTTAGTAAGGGACTAAGGGTTGGTTTGGATAAACTTCTCTACAAACACTTCTAAGAGAAAAAAAAATAAGAAAAAACGAAATAAGTTTCTCTATAAGTTAAAATTAGCTTATAAGTTCATTTGTAGAAGCTTTCTTGTATAGTTCTTCCAAAAAATTATTTTATTTCTCCTTCACATTTTTTTTCTCCGAAGAAATTTATCCAAACAAACCCTAAGTAAAGAAAACCCTTGAGAAATGAAAAGAGGGTGAGGGAAAAAATAGAAACAACAAAGAAAGTACCTCTTTCACATTTAACGGTAGTGGAGGTATATTATTCCTTTGAGGAGCCCAGATTTTCACATTTTTTTCTATACCACAAGTGGCAAGAATTGGTGTATGAGGATGAGCCTCAAGTTGATTTACAACATGTTGATCACCTATCATTAATCTCACCAGCTTAGCTTCCTTCTTCTTCCAGATGAATATATGGCCACAATCTGAACCACTCAAGACATATTCATCATTTGGGCCAAAAAAATTCACTCCTTTAATTGTCTGTGCATTTCTGTGGCCTGAGTAAACTTGTGCCTCTTGAACATTCTTCAGATCCTCAGATGTAGCAGATGAAGGTGAACAACCCAAGCCCAAATTCTTTTCAAAAAGATAGATAAGCTCATCATTATAAGAAACAAGGAGTTCACTAAAGCTTGAGTAAGCCAATCCTGTGATATGGACACTATTTGAACCAATTAAGTGACGAGGGCAAAATGTGTTGACAGGTCGATCTGAATTTCTTGCTGAATCCCACTGGCATTTTCTCATGTCATAAACACGTGCATATTCATCAGATCCACCGACAGCAAAATAATATGGATTTCTGGAGTCAATCACAATGGAATTCAACCCTATTTTGCTTGGAAGATGTTTATTGTTACCTACTGATGAGGAACAACAGAAAAGTTTTGTAGCAGAACTACTTCGCAAATCAAACTGCAAAAGAAACAAAACTTATAACTGTTCGGGGATAGCATAAAGGGTAGCTTCAACGTGCAACATGCTGTAATACTTGACTAACATGTTGAATAAATCCATCTTCACCAGAACTGTAAAATATGTGAGGACTGCCAGGCTCCACAGCAAGCTTGTATACACAACCATGGTGCTTCCCCAACATTGTAGTGTCAACTCTACTGTCGTCCCTGAGAAGGCCAAGCCTTACCTGCAAAGGAAAGATCAGTTTCTAATAAGGAGACTCAAGCAGACATTTTCTTTTATTAGTAAGAAAGATTACAATGACAACAACAAAGATCGAACCAAACCATAGTTTTCATATATTTATCCCAACTCCCTATTACCAGACCAACCAAATGGTTTAAACAGACATTTTAAAAAGGCATAAGTTAGATTGAGCTTAAATCTAGAATCTGTACTCAGATTGGTGATTTCAAATACCATTCAGATGACAGACAAGAGGCATCATTTCTTGAATAAAATTAATTAACAGAAGGAGAAAACTCATAGAAACAGTTTTGAATTATTATGCTTGATTACGGTGCCATTCTATTTATGTTTGACAGCATTTAGTAACTTGCAGCATATTGGCTCCTTCAACAGGAAAAGCAGCTGTATACCGCACATGAAATACGAAGTTAAACTTCATGTTAGATTCCACTTCCACCAGATAAATTTTAATGATAAAAAAAATAGCCTGCCAGTTTCCATTCTAGTTCCAAAGATAGAAAACATGACTTTTTTTTTTTTTTTTCACATGTATCCTCTTTAGAGACGATCATATTCAACTCACAATTACGATATTAAATGCGACTATGCGAGCATCTCTCCTAGCAGAGATTTGAACTTTGGTTTAGCATGTTTTGTGAGACTAGCTCATTCTGCTAAACCCAACCCTTCCATCTGATGTTCTTAAACTAAGAAAATATATTAAGCTATAGAGCATCAAATGAATAAAATAAACAGACATAGAATACATGATCAAATGACACCTGTTTAATTGTTGCTAAAAAAGAGAGAGTACAGGGAATTCGAGCCTACTATATTGGGTCTGAACAGAATATTTGAATACACACTTTCGCGGGCCTATTTACCTGGCCATCACCAGCAGAAGTTACTATACGGCAGTCATCAGTGAATGGCATAACCTTTGTCTGGAATATGTTGTCTGTGTGGCCAGAAGGATATGCAAACAACCTAGATTTGGATGCCCAGTTCCAAAACATTACTTGTCGGTCATCAGAACCAGAGACAAGAAGGTCACCAGTGGAGTTAAATTCCACTGCATTTACGCATCCTTCATGACCATCTAACTTCCCATATAAATTCAAGCTCTTCACAAGCACCTGCTAGTGTAAATAACCCTCATAAGACAAATAATAAGTTGTCCAAGCAATTCATAACTTCGAATTTATTAGTCACAACAGATAAGATGAACTTTTATGCATTGCTTAGAATTATGGTTTGGACAAAAATAATTTCCAAAAATGCCGGGTCATGAAAGTTGTCCCTCGTTTATAAACATTAAGTTTACTATGTCACTACACAATGTCTGATCTTCAACATTTTGAGTGCAAAGTTTGCATAATTGGACGTATGTAAGAGGGTTTCATAATAGCTGGTCTAGTAGACTCAAAAACAATAATCGAGATAAACTCTGATACCATCTTAAAATTTAAATTTGTATTCAATTCAACCCAAAAGCTTAGCTCATAGCAGCTGGTCTAGTAGACTCATCAACGACAACCAAGATAAACTCTGATAGCATGATAGAATTTGAATTGGTTATCAATTCAACCCAAAAGGTAACTCATTTGCACTTGAGATCTCCAACAACATTCTAGGACACAAAACCACGCAAATCACAGTTGATTCATTCATAGCATAGGTTTTATACTTTCTATTCCTTGTATTGTATCACAGCTAAATACAAAGACGAGATTTTTTAAGTTTTAACTTCCACTGAAATTGTTTGACACTTGGCGACGATTGACGGGGGAATTTGGCAGACGGAAAAATAAAAATGAAAAGCAAATTACAGAGAGAATTTGGCAGAACCTCGGAAGCTGAAAAGCGACGCGCAAAACCGTTGGGATGAGACAAGCCAAACTCTCTCCTGAAAATATCTGTAAAGCCACGTGGAGGTCTAGTATTAGTGTTAGTAATGCTCCTATGGTTATGGAGATTCTCCATTTCGATGAAGAAGCAGTTGCAGAAGTGGATTCCTTTTATGGAACGAACGAGTGCGGAAGACGCTAACTAGCTAACTATGGTTTAAGGTTTTGCTTTTCGCAAACGACGTGTCGTTGTATGCAGACATGGGGAGATTGCGTGGACAGAGGGTGTCATTTTAGCGATGCTCCATACAATTCCCCCTTTCACTAATTACAGAGAGAATTTGGCTGAGTGCCTATGTCGAATTTTTTGGGCTGGCCCAATAAATGAAATAATGAAAAGGTTCATGATATATACACCTCCTTTTTTCTATAAGTATATCTTTTTTTTTGAAAAAAAAATAATTAAAATTTTAAAATATTTTTAATTTTTAATTTTTTAATTTTACATTTAATATTTAATTTAGTACTTTTTTTTCACATTTTCCTTTTTTTTTTTCTTCAATTTTTACATGCACCTCCTTACCTTTCCTTCACCCCACCTATTTTAGTAGCATGTGAAAACTAAAAGAGAAAAAAAAAGTGTGTGAAAAAGAAAAAGAAAGTAACAAATTGAAAATTGAAGGTGTAAAATTAGAAAATTAAAAAAAAATTATAATATTTTATAATTTTAAAAAAAATAAAAGAGGTGTACTTAAAAAATAAAGGAGGTGTATATATCATGAGCCTTTTTATAAGTGCACCTCCTTTATTTTTTAAAAAACTATAAAATATTGTCAACTTTAATTTTTAATTTGCTACTTTCTTTTTTATTCACACACTTTTTTTCTCTTTCAATTTTCACATGCTACTAAAATAGGTGGGGTGAAGGAAAGGTAAGGGAGTACATGTAAAAATTAAAATAAAATATAAAAAAAAAGGAAAGATGTGTAAAAATTTACTAAATAAAATGTTGTGGGTGTAAAATTAAAAAATTAAAAAATTAAAAATATTTTAAAATTTTAATTATTTTTTTAAAAAAGGAGGTGTACTTATAGAAAAAAGGAGGTGTATATATCATGAACCTAATGAAAAACAGGCCAAAAATAAGTGGTTGATGATATATACACCTTCTTTTTTCTTTTATAAGTACACCTCTTTTTTTTAAAAAAAATTAATTTTTAAAATATTCTTAATTTTTTGTTTTAAATTTTTTAATTTTATATTCACAACATTTAATTTAGTACTTTTTTTTCACACATCTTTTCTTTTTTTTTTTTTTTAATTTTTACATGTACCCCCTTATCTTTCCTTCACACCACTTATTTTGGTAACATGTGCAAATGAAGAGAAAAAAAAAGTGTGTGAAAAAGAAGAAGAAAGTAGCAAATTAAAAGTTGAAGGTGTAAAATTAAAAAAAATTAAAAAAATTATAATATTTTATAATTTAAAAAAAAAAATAAAGGAGGTGTACTTAAAAAAAAAAAAAAAAAGGTGTATATATGATGAGCCAAATAAGTTCGTAATGTTATTCTCAAAACCTGTTTTTCTTTTCTATTCTCACACTCTAATTTAATTCAAATTTGGAGATAATAATATAGTTATAACAATACTATTTTGAAGAAAATATGTTTTGTTGAAAATTTAAATAAAATAGAATTCAATTTACATTTGGAGATCATGGCATACTTATAATAATAATTAGTTCAATTTAATTTTAATTTTAAAATAATAATTCTTATAATGTAAAATTCTCTGTATATAAATTAGGATGATTATTTTAAATAAGTGTTTTTAGATATATTTTTTTAATTTCTTATCTCTTATAGTCTATCTTTATTTCTAAATTTTTTTCCTAAAAGAAAATATCAATAGTTTAGTATAAGCCATAACCTTATATCATAATATAAATTGTTTATTATAAATCTAAAATATAACTTAGATGTTAAATTTTTCTTATGAATTTTAATTTTAACATGATTTATTTATTTAAAATTATTTATTTACTATAAATTTTAGTTATGTAAAATAAATATTTATCCTTTGCACTATACATGCTATAGTACTAATAAAATATAATTTAATTTAAATATGAAAATAATAACATATTCAAGTAACAATTTAAATTTGAAAAAAAAATCTTAAAAAACCAATCTCACTCTAATGAGTTGTGTAAAGTTTACATGTGAGTTGATTAAAAATGAAAATAAAACTCTCTAAAGTAAGTACTTAAATTTATAATACAAAAATGAATTGTTTTCTCTAATACCTATAGGTGCCAACATGGTATTAAAGTGACTAAGAAAACTTTCTCATCCTCCCTTTCATACCCACTTCATCTTGTTTAACACATACATTGCTAGATGTTAGTGACACCAATCATATTCTTGCAACATTTGATACTACTGCAATTTGTGACTTATGGGCCAAATATAAGTTAAATCAGAAGCATGTATACTACTTCCATTCAATTTGTTTGCTTGGCCCTCTCCATTCTATTTTTGGTTGTGTCCCCTCTCTCTTGGAAAGGTTACTTTAATGGTAATTTTTCAAGTGAATCAATTACTATAAGTTAAATCATTGAGTATGTACTGGTTTTTCGTTGAGTAAACCAACATCTTTATTAAAAAGCAATTAATTATTTACATTACATATTCAAACACTCATGCCATTGACAAACCAAACATTTTAAAAACGGAGCAAAAGTTAAAAATACATTATTCAGAAGGCATTTGAAAAAACTTGTAAACACTTGTTAACTAAACAAAATGAATAACTACACAAACATCAGCATTTTATTCAACTTGCCGGATGGTGGAAGTAACAATTCGAATTGTAAGTTGCCAACTTGGCGTTACACGAGTTCCGTACAGATGGCCCTTATTCAACTTGAGATTTCTATTTTACTTCGATCAATACAAAAAATATGGGGCCCTATAATTTGTCATCTATCAATACAAGAAAATTTCAGAGAAATTGGTTATTTCCCAGCAAAACCTGCGCTACATCATGTATATATATGTATAAAAAGCCCAAGGAACCAAAATCCAATAAGCTACACTCTGATGGATCCCAGCTCTTCTTTACAAAAATTACTCTAAACAGACCTTCCCTTAGCTCTTCCGTTTCCTATTCTAAGCAAAAGAAAAATAATAAAGCAAATATTCTGTTAGAGATGGCTTCCATGACCATCGGCAGTGCGATCATGTTATAACCCCCGTAGCCACAGGAAAATGAGCAGGAATTTTTTGTTGCCATGTCGAACCTAGCAACCATAGCCGCCAAATTTGGTTCCAACACTACATTTTCTCATTTTGTGCTCCCTTCACTTGGGTAAATATCCTTTCGATATATTTGCCATGAAACCACAGATATGAATGGATCAATCGTCATCCTCAGTTAAGGAAGCAAATGAAAAAGGCTTGAACTTGTAGCCATCACCATGGTAGAATTTATTTTGAAATTCTACCCAGTGAAGCCGCAGGGCATGAAGAAAAGCACTCAGACTCTCCATCATTAGTAGTATAAAGGCAGTTGCAAAAGCAAAAACAGTTAGCCCTATCAACCGAATGACAAGATTGTCATACCTGTTTTAAATGTAACCGGTAATGACATTAGTGATTAAAGAATATGATTAAAAAAAATGTAAATACAACAATCGAATACAAATATTACAGATAGATAACTCCAAAACCTAAAATATTGAAAAGCAGAGGGTTTTTCCATGCAACTCTAAATTTCTACAAACTCCAGTGAAGTAAAAATAAAATATAGTAGATACCATGCGGAGGAGTAACGTAAAAACCAGAAGCCACCTCATCTAAACTAGCTGGTGGCTAATGCAGACCAATATTTATTAAAAATATTTTATTGGCCAGAATTTTCATGATGATTACAAATAATAAAATAAATCATGAACGTTATCTTTAAAAAATTAATATACCTCGTAAAACTATCTTATAGAGACTTATCCCAGGATTTTAAAAGGTACCAAAAAAGAAATTGTTTCTAACTACATCAGAATTGATGCCTATTCCATACTATTATATCACGAACTGGAAATAATCCATTACAAAGGAAGGAGTGCAATAAATCATACTACATTCCTTTTTTAAAAGGAAATTAATTCTTGGGTAAAAACCCAATTTGATCATAGAAAGATTCTGCGGAACATCCATTTGATACTTGAAAGATTCTGACATCAAATTGTTCCTCAAATGATTATTTTGGTCATTACATGACATTAATTTCATCCCAGTCAACATTAACTACATATATCCAAATTTATGTTCCAAAAAAATTTCAAAGCATAAACAGAGGTCTACACTTAATTCTTTGAATCTCTAAAATTATATTATTGTCAAACAAAACAAGCATGTCAAAACATTTTGTTTAAAGGCTAATTTTAGATAAACTTCTGCACAAGCACTTTTAGAAGAAATAAAATAAAATTAACTTCTTTGTACGTTAAAAGTAGTTTATGCTTAAAATAATTTTTTGTAGAAACTAATATAAGAGAGCTTTTATAAATTTGTTTATAAAAAAAGTTTATTTTATTTTTTCTTCTCCTAAAAGTATTTGTGAAAAAGTTTATCTAAATAGACTCAAAATAAGGTTAAATGTTTCTGATTCCTACAAATAAAGCAAGATTCACTTTTAGTCCCTAAAAAATAAATTGTCTCCTTTTGGTCCTTCGTTTATGAAAAAAATGATCCTGTAGTCCCTGTTTCCAAAAAAGAGACCAAAAAAAGAAAATTTTCTTCAGGGATTAAAAGCAAATATTTCTATATTTATGGGAACTGATTATAAATTTAACCCTCCAAAATATCATAGAATTGAGGCAATTTATCCTATTGTGCAAGTTCAATTTGGTTACGCTACACGACATAAATTGTAAGCGCACAGATTCGATCCCCCAAATTGCACTTTATCCCTTTTTCATTTCCTTATTCTCTCTCCCCAAGTACTTCTTACGGCCTATAACAAGCCTCCCCTTGGATCCAAAAAATTAGGTTAGGCAATTTGGTCAATAAACTAACATGTCAACAGCATCCAATGCCAGTCTTGGCCTTCATGTTTTAAACATCAAAACATTATTTTAAAACAGCATAGAAGTGAGCAATTTTATCAATAAGCCCAGATGTTAACAGTATCGAACACATGCCTTGGCTTTCCTCTTTATGTTCACATAATTAAAATATCACATTTCTTCAATACCAGATCTAGAATCTTGTCAGACAAAAGTTTAAGTGCACTCTT